TAGCTGGTCCTAAATCTTTCATTTCAAATTCAGATTTTAGATTTTCTTTAATTGAGTTAAGTGTAACAGAATTGTGACCAGCAAGGAGTATATCATCAACATACAAAAGCAGATAGAAAAAATCAGATTCCCCTTCTTTATTGTAATAGAAATAAGGATCATATTCTGATTTTCTAAAGTTCAAGCCTTGTATAAAAGAGTCAAATCTTTTATACCACTGCCTAGGGGCCTGTTTCAGCCCATATAAGGATTTCTTTAAGAGACACACTAAGTTTCCCTTTCCTAACACTTCAAACCCTCTTGGTTGAGTCATATGTATGGTTTCATCTAAAGAACCATACAGAAAGACAGTTTTCACATCAAGTTGTTCTAACTCCAAATCAAATTGTGTCACTATAGCAAGTAGGACTCTAATTGATGTATATTTAACAACCGGTGAAAAAATTTCATTGTAATCTATCCCTTCCCTTTGATTAAAGCCTTTGGCTACAAGTCTTGCCTTAAACCTCTTATCACTAACCTTTGTCTCACCATCTTTAATCTTATAAACCCATTTACAGTCAATCAATTTACAATCTTTGGGTTTTTCAACTAAAGTCCAGGTTTCATTCTTAAAGAGTGAGTTCATTTCATCTTCCATCGCAGCAATCCACTTAGGGGATTCTTTGGAAGATATAGCTTCTTCATAAGAGGCTGGTTCTAGGTCAAACTGATCTGATTCAGTTTGATCTGATGCGAAATCAGCATGTTGATACCTGGTTGGAGGTCTTATTTCCCTCCTTTCTCTGTCCATAGCAAGTTGGTAGCCCTGCAGATCATGTGCAGGCCCCAGATGCTGTTCATTTTCAATTATTTCAGCATCAGAATTATTTTGGGGTACTACCTGATGTGGCTCCACCTCAAGTTGAGCCTGGTCATCAGTATTGTGGCTATCAAAATTAATTTCTGTGATAATGAAGTCATCCTTTCCCAATTTCTCTCTGGATTTGTCACTAAGACAAGGGAAATCATCTTCATTAAAGATAACAGATCTGCTTGTTATCACCTTATAACCCCTCACATCTCTTAACCACAATCTATAGCCTTTAACCCCTTCTCCATATCCTAAGAACACACCCTTCAATGATCTAGGGTCCAATTTTGTCTCAATATGATGTGCATAAGCTGCAGATCCAAAATTTCTTAGATGAGAGTAATCTGGCATTGAACCAGACCAGATTTGTTGGGAAATTCTGTTATTTAGAGAGCTGGAGGGACATCTATTTATAAGATAACATGCTGTTTTTACAGCTTCACCCCAGAAAATTTTTGGAAGGCCAGAACTGATTAGCATACATCTGGTCCTTTCAAGAATTGTCCTATTAAGCCTCTCAGCAACTCCATTCTGTTGTGGAGTATAGCTCACAGTTTTATGTCTCATTATCCCTTGTTTACTACAATATTGGTCAAATTCTGTATTGCAGAATTCAAGGCCATTATCAGTTCTTAAAATTTTTATCTTCTTACCAGTCTGATTTTCAATTAGAACAGAAACAGGTGCTGGTCCCCATAAATCAGAATGTATGTATTCAAGGACATCTTGGGATTTGTGCAGTCCTGCCTTAAAAGGCAGTCTTACATGTTTTCCCAAGATACAGTGTTCACAAAAGGTCAATTTCTGAACACTGTCTTTTCCAAATGCCTCTTGACATGATAATGTTTTTAAACCTTTTTCACTTAAGTGGCCAAGTCTTTTATGCCACAGTTCTGATTTATCGGGTTGTGTGACAGAGTTCACAGAATTTTTTGGTGAAATGGTTTCAGCACCTATTACATAGATTCCATTAAGCTTAGGAGAACTGATAATGTGTTCTTGATTTCTCATTATATTTGTAAAACCATTTTTAATACCAATTTGATAATTTTTATCATTAAGAACTCCTAGGGATATGAGATTTCTTCTAAGTGCTGGTACATATCTTGTATGTTTTAATAATATGTAATGACCATTTTTAAATTTCAACAGCACATTTCCAATTCCCTTAACTTGACATGACTCATCATTCCCAAGTTTGACAAATCCTCCATCCAGACTACAAAAGTCTGAGATGCAATTAATATTGGGTGTCATATGAAAGGAACACCCTAAGTCCAGGACCCAGTCCTGATCAGTATTCTCAAATATAGACGCATAGGCTACTCCAATATTAGCTCATGCTTCTTTATAATTAGCAGCAACAGCTAAAGAAGCATTTTTAGTATTAGACCCATTCTTTTGGTCATTTGCCCTTTTAAAACAGTTTTTAATAAAATGGCCTGTCTTTCCACAATAAAAGCATTTTCTGTTATTGTTACTGTTTTGTTTTCCTTTGATTGGTTTCTTGCCTTTTCCTTTGGTGTTATTCCACTGTCTTTTGTTAAAAATTTTATTCTTGTTAAAATTGGAATGACTGAAGTTACTTACTCCTTTAGGATATGTTTTTTGATTTGATGACATACCCTCAACATGGTACACTTCTTTGTGTTCAGATTTTAATTCAAGTTCTTTATTCAGAAGAGAACTGTGAATTATTTCAACATTGAGATCACTCCTACCATACTCTAGGGCATTTCTAATATCTTTATATTTATCTCCTAGAGCATTAAGTAGGCCAACTACCTTCTGTTCATCAGAAATTTTCTCATCCAAGTTTGCTAAGTCATGTGTGATCCTATCAAACCTATCCATATTATCTCCAGTATCAAGGTTAGGATCAAACTTAAAACTGAAAAACTGTCTCCAAAGGAAACATTTATTTGGCACAGTCTTTATAAGGTAGTGTTTTTCTAAGGCAGTCCATAATTCTTCAGCAGTTTTAGTTTCTCCTACTTTCCTAATTACAGTATCAGACAGGTGTGGGAACAAAGTGCTCCAGGCTAATTCATCTTGCTCAGTTTTCCTAGCTTCAGATAACGTTTCTGGCCAAGATTCATCAATAGCCTTAGCACATTTTTATATCAACCAAAAATTAAACACATTTAATTATGCATAACACTAAGCATGCAATCAAATTTTAATCATAGAACTTACACACAGTAAGTTATCAAGACAGTAAATACAATGTGTGTACCTTTGAGGCAATTATACTTTGGCAGGTTAGCACCTGAGAGTATCAAATTGTGTATTAGTACAGTTCACATAGAATGTATAACAATGTATCAATTTAAAAAAAAAATATGATTTTGATTTTATTATTAACTCACAGTGAGTTATCTAATAAAGTATTCTTGAAGATTAAAGGTTTCTTGAACCTAAACCCTAGTCCCCAAAGTTTCTAGGATTCTCTTAGGAAACCCTAGACAGAGGTAGAGGTTGGGGAGGTTCAAAGAGACCTTATGTTTTTAAAAACACGTTTTTATTTTTAAAAAAAATTATCTCACATAAACTGCAAGTACATAAGATACCAAAAAAAAAACGTCTGACTCTTATACAAGAGCAGTCTATTAACTACTGCAGGTGCCACCACAGATAGGCAAAGAACAATCACTGCAATAATCAGCGGTATTTATAGAGCACTTTTATTTATCTCATTACCAAACACACTGCGGTGAGCAGTATGATCACGAAGGAATTTCAATAAGGATTTTGGAACCATACACGAACAAGAATCAGTGGACCAAGGTAAAAGATAATCAAGAAACTTCAGTTTCTATCAAAACAGATTCGACACTGTTATTTGTAAAGGAATTTAACTCAGTAACATTCGCTTTCCTTTAAAGAAAGATTCAACACTAGCTCAAGATTCATACAGCACACTAAACAGTGCCTAAGTTACATTAGTTTTTAAAAAAAAATTAGAAATAATAAAAATAAAAAATATGTTGGCAGATTGTAGTGATCTGCCATTTCTCTTTCCGGCCAGTGACTCAACTTTCAGTTCCCTTACTAGGGAAACCAAAAAAAAAAAATTCTCTAGCTCTGATACCACTGTAGGTTCAAGAAAGTATGAAAATCGAAAAATATTCTAGGCAAAAATCAAATATAGACACAGATCTGAAAAACAGTAAAGAGAACACAAGATTTTTCGGCCGAATCCCCGAGGTTCAGCGATTTAACAAATCGCCTAGTCCCCGTTGAGCATCCATAAGGAATAGGCTCAAATCCACTAAAATCACCGGTCAAATACCACAAACTTTGATTACAAACGGAACACACAGTTCCAACCACAGCAACTATCCAAAACCCTCAACACCGAATTGAACTCACACAAGAGTTCATAAAGATTCAATCTCTTTACAGAAAACTACACAAAGATCACAAAGATCCAAGAGAGAATCACACATTTACAGAGAGAATAATATGAAAAGTATAAAAGCTGCGCGAGAGAGAGAGCGAGAGAAAGCCCTCAAACCCTAGAGTTTCCTTTTATAAGAGAGATGCCCCATTTTTTATCCAACGGTCTTCATTTTGCCAGGCGTCAAAAAACTAGTATAAGTTGTTATTTTAAAACTGAAAACACGTTTTATCAAATCCAGTTTAAACTTCAAGATTCTTCCTTCATTTGGAACGGGTATGGGCCAAATCATTTAATTTGGGCTGGGCTTCCACATAAAAACAGCAACCCATTTCTACAACTGTAATAATAAAAGACAAAGAATATGATACCAAGCAAACTATATATCCCTAATCATATGCCATAAAAATATGTTACAAAATATCTAAGAAATCAATAAATATCTTTGAAAAAAAATGGTAAAATGACGAGTTAAAATAGATAACATTATTTATTTCTTCAAGCCCATACATAGTGCAAAATAGGTTAAGTTGCACTCTAGCGAAAACAATTAGATTTTGTTATCCCGAAACTTTAATGACTCGTATATATGTTTAAGAGTTTTGCTATTTGAACATTATGGTTGACACCTAGGTGTAAAGCCCCCTCACAAGAAGGGGGCCGAGGTGTCGCAAAACCCTATGTTTAGAGCTGGAGGGATACCCGCGACTCTTCACAAATAAGTATTCAAATGTTTGGCTCATAAACTGGTTTGAGAAGGAAACAAGAACTTGAAGGATAAACTCTCAATGAATGTACAAATGAACGGACAAAGAGTCAAATACAAGAAAATGCAAAAACAAACCCCGTGTAAATACTGTACACTCTAGGAGGAAAAAAACAGCTCCAGTATGCTGTTAATTTAATGCAAATCCAAGAACTCAAAACAGTTCCAGTAGTATTATTCTTGATCTGGTTGCCTCAATTCCTTCCTTAGCTTATGAGAAAACGATCTACAAGCATCCATGCTTAAATCGATTGCTGCTGCCAATGCCACAAAAACTGCAGCATCCTCCGTGCAAGTCACGTGCTGCACTCCGATTTCAACCGCCGGTTTGCTGCACTTCCCGTTGCCTTCGACAGTGCACGACATTACGAATCCTTTATACAAGAGATGTGCCCATGATCCAGATCCCTGTGCAGATCCGAATTCTGAGCCAAAACTAGATGCTGAACTGAAATCAAAGCTGCTATTAGGACTAGTCATTGGGGTTGGTCCTGTTGTTACATCTATGCTGAATTTGCCACCAGTTCTCATGCTAATTGAGGAATTGGCAAGAGGGATTGAGTCTATGCCGCCATTGGGGATGAGTTCGAAGCGGTAGCCAAGTTGGTCACCGCAGTTGTGTTCACGCCAGGCCTCCAGACGGCCCCAGGGTGTCCAGGTGTTGTGACCAGGACGAAGGATGAGCCAGGCTCCCGGATTGGATCTACTGACCCTATCACTGCCCTGTGATGGCACGAATGGTGTCACCATTGATGCAGCAGCCACGGGTGAGCCTGAGAGGTCATGAATAGTGATCGACCATCCCTTTCGCTCTTTCATGGATTGTTCGTCTGCTGTAGATGAACTAAAACAGCTTGTTGATGTGCTTGGTTCTGAAAGGGAAGACCTGTTATATAAATTGTGGATTATGTTAATTAACCAGATCCTAAATGAATCAAATCGAATTGAAATAAGTAATGGGCATCAACTGCTAATTCAATTCTAGAAACTACGCGATTAAGACTGGTAATAGCAAACATTAACAATAAAATTATTTGAATGATCAACATCAACAACCTAAGCCTGAATCCCAATAAGTTTGAGGTCGATTATATGAATTTTTCTTTTTAATTCGTTCAATACATTGCTATTAACGGAAAGATAACTAAATTCTTAACAATTTTGATCTATCCTGAATATAAAGTTTCCAATACATTGATCCATATAAAGAGTAGCCAATTCGAAGAATTCAAAATCTTGAAACTGAAATAGGGATAACTAGGTTTTTTATGTTTTTTAACCTTTTCCAAAAATTCTTCAATTATATTTTCTTCATCTACTATATTCATCATTATTTTTGGTTCGTAACATGGCTCTAATACCATTTGATCGGAGTGTGCAGCGGAGGGGTTAATATTTTTGAGCCAATTAGATTCTTCATAAATATTTAAAATGTCACAATAGAATTTATAAAATTCACTATTTTTTATTAATACTTTTTCTTGAATAATTATGTTTAATTTTTCAATTCTCCTTCTTAAATTAAGAATTAATTTATATATGTCTTTTTCCATTTTGATTGCTTCGTTATCTATGGAATCATTTTTATTTTTTATTTTTGGGTCTAAATATTCTATAAAGAAGTCTTTCAGATCTTCTTCTAGATAGATTAATTCGTTTTCTGTATAAATTTTTAGATCAATAAAATTTTGTATAATATTTGGATCTAGATTTATTAAAAATTTATGATCTATATTTTCTTGAGGACTTATTTGAAGATTTTTAGACATTGTAATGGCTTTGGTTGCAATTTCTCTATTAAGGGTATTTTTGGAAAATTAGTTGTTTGGAGACTAGTTTTCAAATGTTTTTATTTCTTAGACTAATTTGGAAAATCCTCCTTTTATTTAGGCTATTAAGTTGTATTTCCTCGTCTGAAGCTATCACTTTCGTGACAGCAAGACTAAGATTGGACAATAGTCTTAACCAATTTCGACCAGTGGCCCCAATATTCACCTCCTCCTTGTTAAAGATTTTGTTTTTATTTTTCTTGATTTTCTATTTTTGGACAAGATTGTTTTCCATACTTTGTCTCGAGTTAGGTTTGATCGTTTTTTTTTTTTTTTTCTAAATCAAATTGCTACGGAAGTTGAGTCGGAATTTTATTATTTTTTGAAAAAATAAATGGTAAATATAGGCAATATGCCATTAAATAGTAATAAAGGAGTATGTTTATAGTGGAATGGACCCTGATAATTGGGTTTGTGGTGAATTTTGAACTTGATTTTGGATGATATATGATGATCTGTATCTATATCATCAATTTAGTTTTGGACAATTGAAACAATACTCGATCTCATATCAGTATCAAAGTTGGAGGTCTTAGTTTAAGTCAATACTATTCAGGAGATAACAATGAGAAGGTGGTCTTTTTTTCTTTTTTTTTTTCCTTTTTTTTTTTGAATTTTCTATTTTATGATGAGATGTTATTTTCTATTCCGTGTTCGGAACTATGGTTAGATGGTTGTTTAAAATTATATCATCATTTAAGTTGAGTTGAAATTTTATCAACGATTTAAAAGTAAAGTGCAACTTAAGAAAGAGGCACGAGAGTCGACATGTCTCTCAATAAATTATAATGAAAAGGAGTCTTATTGATTTTGAGATTTATGTGTTCTCAATATTTTATTTTTGGATTAGATATGATGTTTCGATAAATGTGGGTTGACATGTTAATTTTTTAAAATGAGAAGCACAATTTATACACAAAACATATTTATGAGCTATGGACCCGCTAATTACCGAAACTTGTGACTAGTAGCTGAAGAAATTATTATGAGAGGGTGAGTTAGCAATTTTTTATTTAAATTTTTCTATATTTCCACTGTTCTAGAAGTTTAGAATAAAAAAAAAATACTAATTTCTGAAAATTTAGATTTGGTCCAGAGTCCATGAGAAAAGTCATAATTCTCAACAAATATAAATTCATTGGATAATTAGAATTTTACTAAATAAAATATGCCAACAAAAATTAAGGTGTTCATACACCTTGAAAAGAGACTTAAATATAATAATCCATCCAGTCCTATTAACTCCTAACTAAGGATGGATCTTGATACCAAACAACAAACAAGAATATGTGTAAAACAAAGCTCTTGCCATATTTCCATGCTCCATAGAAGAACAGCATAGAAGGAATAAGCTATTTTGTTGCTTATAAGTTATAACCAAATTAAGTAATTATGTATCATTAGTCAGAACTGTGAGCAATTAAAATTGACAATTAGTTTTATAATAAAAGTAGGTGTCCTACTCAACTTCAATTTGCAGCTGGGAAAAAACTGGTTTGTCAAGGAGCAATTTACTAGGTTTTATACATGATACTCATAATGGAATGGGCCCCCACATGGGACCCTCATGTAATAAAAATTGCAAAAAATAAATAAATAAAATACTGGCCGACCACATTGTGAGCGGCCTATAAAACCTCTGTAAATTTCTCTCTGGTATTGTAGCATTGCTCTTGTAGCTGGCACAGCATCATGCCATTTTTCTTAGGACCCACTTGTTACAAAAAAATTATTTTTTCTTATTTTGGGTTTCAATTAATATTTTAGCAATAAATTATAGTTTTTTTTTTTTTTTTTTTTTTACTTTCCCATTTCTATGAGGTCATAACTTATAAGAACATCTTCAAGAAACTCTCTATTTTTTAAAAACATATTATATTTTTGGAGAGTATTTATAAATCTAGAGAGTTAAAATTTTGAAACACTCCAACAAGCTCTTTATATTTAACACTTAATTTTACTACTCTTAAAAAATATTTATTATTTTTCTCTATCTTTTATTTAAACTAACCGTTCTTTAAATTATTTTATTAATTTCCTAAATTGAAAATTGAAATACTTTGAATGTATTTAATTATGGAAAGCATCTCATGTTTAAAAATTCTTTTGAAGATGGTTTAAATACAATTTTCCCTAGTCCATGGATTAGATTAAGCAATGAAGTGCAATCGGTGGGTGACAGATTGAATTATTAGGAAAGTAAACAGACGGGCAATAATACACTTTTTTTTTTTTTTTTTTTTATAATGAGTTTAATACTGTTTGGATTAAGTTAAGCAATTTATTTACAAACAAGTAAATTACTTATTTTAACCAAAAAAAAAAAAAAATAAGAGTTACTTTTAAAATAGTAAATACCCGACTTAAAAAAGTAACTTATACTAATCATGTTAGTGTATCCTTTGGTTCTCTCTTCTTTCATTGTTTTCTTTGCCCTCTTTATGTTTCACATATCATCTAGTGCTGTATCATAATCCGATAAGTGTCCTCTTTTGACGTATTTACTAAGCTAAAAATGAACAAGATTAAGGAATAAATAAATAAATAATGAATACCTTTTCATTTATCCAATTATTTAGCACTTATAAATGCTTTGTAAACTTTGAAATTTCATTTTCAATCACACATTTCACTAAATCCACTATTTTTTATTCACACATTCCCTTCACAAATGATTTATAATCTTTCAAAATACAATGTAATTTGTTGACCCGTTGGTTGAGGTGCGTGGAGCCGGAGCTTCTAATAATTAAAATTGTAATTATTAGAACAACTGGAGTTTTTAGAAGCAGACGCGTTGGCTGAGGTGCGTGGGAGACACGCTTAAATCTGAGGCGTAGGTTTGAAAAACCGTTTGAATTCTACGCCTCGGATTTGATTTAAAATGAAGGGTTCAGATTGAAGGAGTTTCGATCTGACGGTGGGGGTTCGTTCTGGCCCTTTAAAAAGGGCAAGAGAACTCCACTTTTCTGGATTTTCCAGCATTTGCAATCTGATTTCTTCTCCTAGAACTTAAACATTCCGATGTTGAGGCTGTCCGTTAACTGCTTTTTCCGCACATTCTGTTTGCGTAGTTTTTCAGTAGGTATTTTTCGCAGAAAATCCTCCTTTTACTGCGTTCTTAGTCATTTCTGAGATAGAGTCCACTTCGGGTAGGGAGTTGGTCACTGTAGCGTCATTGGGCCATGGGGTCAGTCATATGAGGGATTCCGAGGTGAATAGGTATGCTATGACCGATGAGCCAGTAGACTATAGCGAAGAGTGGGGGCGTCTAGGGTGCCTTCAAATATGACAGGGAAGAGGCTGGGGGAGATTAGGGAGAGGTACTGTGTGCCTCACTATGTGAAAATGTTAGTTCCCAAAGCCCATGAGCGGGCCTGTTATCCGAGGCCCGGTTGTGTGGCAGTGAGCGAATACCTGTTTAAGACAGGTATGTGTCTTTCTCTGCACCTCTTCTTTAGGGCGGTGTTAAGGAACTTCATGTTGTCACCGACCCAGGTTTCTGTCAAATGGGTGGAGCCAGTTGGTGGGGTCGTACTTCCTCTGGAAGGAAGTATCACTTGGGGAGGACATGCCTCTCCACGTCTTCATGACCATGTTCCAGCCTAGGGTAATAGGGAAGGAGTCGAGGGAGTGGTATTACCTAACTCCTTGGGGGGCTCATGCACCATTTGTGGTGGGACTGTCTTCTTCCATTAAAGGGTGGAAGGAGTCGTGGTTCTGGGTGCGAGGTAGGTGGCAGGCAATGGAGGGGGACAAAGCCCTGGCTTGCACAGTACCAACCCAGTACTACGAAGCTCGTGAGTCTCCTAGCCCAAGTTTGTAATCTGTACTAAAAATTTTATTTTTCCAACTGTTGAGGCATCCTTTGCAAATAGTAGTATGAGGTTCGAGCTGAGCAGGGAGGAGGTTGAAGTGATAAAGGACATTTACAAGAGACCTCAGAAGCTTCGCCATTTCGACCACCTCAAAGTCGCTATTTCCTCGATTTTGAGCTAATGGCCTCCAAGGGTACGAAGCTCCCACACTTGTATATTTTTGTGTTTTCATTTTGATACTGACGTGCTATGTTCTGCAGACAAGTTTAAGAGGGAGGAGTACCCAACTCCTGACATGGCGTCCATACTTAAGGCAACCTCCACTGTGAAGGCGAGGCCCTTGAAGCCGGGGTCAACTGGCCCCAAGGAGGTCCGAGCCAGAGTGGAGCGTCTCTCCAAGGATAGCACATCGCTGGCTTTCGAAGAGGGGACCCCCAGAGGGCAGAAAAGTCCGAGGGGCCTTGGGGGAAGGAGAAAGTCCCTGAGGAGCCGAAGAAGAGGAAGATGGTACACGTGTCCAGCTCGTCTGGCAAATTTGGGACTTCTGTGTCCCATGAAGGCAAAGAAGTCGGGCAGTCGAAGCTACTGGAAGCCA